GATTGCTGACAATTCTTAAACCATAGGTGTTTATTCCAATATTGGTTAATATCTACGTTCCTAACAAATAAAATTTGTTACGAAAAATAATTTTTAAAAACCCGTTTTCGGCTTTGAAACTCATCGTTGAGGTACTCGTCAAGGGGAGGACTATGCATCTATTTAGCAAATGAAATTACCAATACTGTTTCCATTAGTAATAAAACATTAGACATACTCGGTATAGAAAGTATTTACTTACTTATTACTAATAACTCTTTCATATTTAATATAATTTGCATATACCTACTTCCGGATACAGGACTTACTCAGAACAATATGCATATTAACAAACTTGAGGAATTATCATCCCTTGAAAATCTCATTGTTGTTGGAGATTTCAATTTTCCAGAGTGAGCTGGCTCACTATTTCCAAAACTGATAGTATCAATTCCGAAAATTTGTTTAAAAACTTTATCATAAACGTCAATTTATTACAACTGATAACTGAACCTAGAAGTTCAACTTGGCCATCTGCACAAAACCCTTGTCGCCAACGGTTACTCCAAGTCCACAATTCAAAATATTACACACCGACATCTACGTCCCCCTTTACACCCTAGGACGACTAATTCAGAATCTTCGGGTAATACTCCTGTGGCTTTTCTTCCGTATATTCGAAGTGTCACTGATAGAATTGGCAAAATTCTTCGCAAAGAAGGTATCAGGACTACTTTTCGACCACCCAAGAAAATCTCACAATATCTACCCTCTCCTAAGGACCCATTACCGCCCCTTTCTTCCTGTGGTGTCTATTCTATTTCTTGTTCATGTGGACATGTGTATATTGGCGAAACTGGTCGTTCCGTCAAAACTCGGATTCAAGAGCATCAAAGATGCATTCGATCAGGTCTTTTCTCCCATTCTGCAGTTGCAGAACACTGCCAAGAAACCGGTCATTCCATATTGTTCGAAAAACCCATATTATTTCTAAGAGCCCCTTCTTTTATTCCAGGAAAATCCGCGAATCTCTAGAAATCCGAAAAAATCCACATAATATCAATCGAGAGGAAGGATACTACTTGTCTCCCATCTGGAATCTCAGTCTAGAGCCGCCGTCCGGTCCCGCTACCACGATGCAGCACGCGCTTCTTGACGTTCGCGCCACGGAGTGTGCCGATACGTCCCGACACGACAGGTCAGCGCGACTATAAATAGAGCGGTAGCGGAGTAATCGTCGGATGCACTCCCCGCCTCTCGACGCTTTAGTGTTCTCTGTTGGACGTGAATCCCTGTCCTGGTATTTGGTTTTCACCTCTGGCTGCGTTGAGTAGTTGAGTTACTGTGACCAAATGCCCATCTTGGTAGTTAGTATTCGCCTCTGGTTGCGTTGAGTAACTGAGTTACCGTTGCTAACTACCCATCTTCCTGTCTTCTTTTTCTTTTTCTTTTTCTTTGTTCTCCTGAAGAAGCTGCATACAATTGTAGCGAAACGTCGAGATGAACCCACTTTTGGGTCACTCACAAATGACACGGTCCAAACCCGGAAGACGAATAAACTATAATGAACCTAGAAGGTTTAAAGCCAACAATAATCTTTCAATTTTAGATTTTTCACAAATGACGATCAATTAATTTCTACACTTGAAGTGTCCTCTCCTGTGGGTCTTTCTGACCACTCGCTTATTATTGCTCATATTCATTGCTCATGTCACTACTGATTTCTTTAATGTAAATTCAGTTTTATCCCAGTTAAACTGGCAATCTATTTTTCTTAGTCACTTTAATCCATCGTCGATGTGGGACTTTTTTCCTCATATGGCTATTAAAACAATTTCTAATCATACAACCGAACGGCAGCTATACAGAAATCGACTAAAACCTTGGATTCACCTCTCAGCTACCCATTTAATTCGACGTTAGCTCAAGGTTTGGCAAAGATATAAACTTACTCAAGGGAAACCTTGATTATTTTCTCGACCACCGTAATTTCTCTAACCGAGTCAAACAATATTTGCTAAAGTTAAGAACAGAATGTTACGAACATGCTTTCTTCATGGCCTATGTAACGGTTGCATCTCGAAAGGGTATCGAGAACCTTCGCGATGTATCGAGCGCTGTAGAAATCCATTTGTCAAACGACGAATTAGAGGTGGGACTACCCCAGAAGATTCGAGAATAATACTTTTTGGTATATATATGTAACGATGTTATGAGTTAGTTTAGTTGTGAAGATATTACCGAACTGTAAACTTATAAATAAATATATGTATATAAATTCGAACCGCTCGTTTTATTTAAAAACGCTACAAGAATTTAAAGAATCTATCATTGCAAGTGGTAATAGTAATAAAGTTTATTATTATATTCGTACATCTTTATCTTCTTAAGTCTCCATACAATTACTTCAAAAAGCTGACGGGTCTTTATATTCTTCGAATAACGAATCTTCGAAATGTTTATTAATATTCTTTTCTCAGGTTTTTACAGATGAACCTAACAATATCATTACTCAAATATTGTGCCCACGTTGGTTTAAAATTCTTGACAATATATTTTTCATACCGGATGAAATTACACATCATTTAAAAAAACTACGAAATAATTCATCACCTGGATTAGACGGACTCACCTTCTTTTTCCTCAAACAATGTGCAGAATCTGTAGCCATCCCTATATCTCTCATAATGAGTGCTTTTTTTTAATTAAGTTTCTCTCCCCTTGTCCTGCAAATTGGCTTCGGTTACTCCTATATTCAAGAATGGAAATAAACTTGATTGCAATAATTATCGTCCAATCAGCCTGGTTCCTATTATCGGCAAGATCGTGAAATCGATTATTTCGGAAGCTATGTCTGAGTTTCTTCATCCAGAAAATGTCATCCGTAACCAACAGCATGGCTTTATCAAAGGTCGTTCAACGATCACAAACTTACTTCATTCTGTAAATAATTGGTTATTATCTTTAAACAATCGGAATCCTGTCGATGTAGTCTATTTCTTCTTCAAGTTCCACTCCTATCGGAGATTGGAAATCATTCTGGCAATTATAATTTTATTGGTTACTCGCCTGAATAGTTCAGTTGAACTGCATCCAAACCATTCACGGAGATTGCGTAGCCACGAGATTTTACGTCTTCCTACGCTTCTTCTACCTTTGATTTTACCCTGCATTATATTCCTTAGTAGTTCGTACTTTTCACCTCTCATGATGTGCCCCAACTATTCCAATTTCCTGATTTTTATGGAATTTAAAACTTCGCATTGTTTTCCTAGTTGTTCGAGAATATATATATATATATATATATATATATATATATATATATATATATATATATATATATATATATATATATATAGTATAATGGTAAGGTTAATTGGGTTAGCAGCTGAATAATGAAAGCCAAAGTGTGCTCTTTTCAACGATTTCGCTATATTTCGTTAAATTTCTTTAACATCTTCAGACGAATGTTGTGTGAGGTTGCAGGCAAAAGTGGTATTTGAAAGTTCCATGTTGAAAAACTTTTTTGAAGATTTTTTTATAGCAAAAAAATAAGTTGTTTGTTTTATATGGTGGCTTGAAAGCTCAAACAATACAAGTGCATTTTTGTTATTTTCCTCCAGTGTGATAGTACAATACAAATATTAAAAAACATTGAACATTTAAGAAACAAAACAGTTAAAACACAACTACATATCACATTGTCATTTTTTGGATCAGTCTATTGATAGGTGAATAGACTGATCGATGGTCAAATACAAACAATTAAGGATAATTTAAACACACTAAAACAGAAAACACTTAGAAGGGACGAAACAAAATCTAATAGATACAACAATAAAAAAACTCATTGTGCCCAAGACTATGATGTAGTGCATTAAAGTCTTTCCCCCTTTTAAATTCAATGTTTGTTTCGTCCCTTCTAAGTGTTTTCTATTTTAGTGTGTTTAAATTATCCTTAATTGTTTGTATTTTACCATTTTATTCGCTTGACTATTCCAATAATTAACTCATTGCCAATAGAACTTTATCAAAGTAATTTGATAACTACAAGTTGGAAAATAATTGCACACCCACACAATTTTTACATCTACACTTATTCATTGTCATAAAACTGTCACCTTCATAAAACAATTACTCAATAAATAACACACATTTCAAAAATATATCTCTGGAATAAGTATAAATATCCTTTAATAACACAATAGTATATTACATCCCTTACATTTAACAAACAATCTCACACATATCTCAAATTCATTGGATCAAATCTATCTCCTCAAGAACTTCCCGTTTACTGTCAAACAACTGCAATAATAGTATTGAGTTCTCCATTCAACAATATAAAGTAGTTTCAAACATGTTCTACCATCCATCTATTAATAGAGTACCGGCATGTAAGTAATGTTTATTTTATTTATTTATTTGCTCATTTATTAATTTATTACAATCGAAGAGACTATTTTATAACAATTTGTGGGCCTTACCTTGTCTGTTTAACCTTTTTAAAAAATTTTATACCTTTTATTCAACTTAATCATTTAAATAAAACCACAGACATGTAATATTGGCATAATTATTGTAATTTATAACATCTAATTTGTTTATCTTTATTAGACAACACCCTAATATGGGTTTTTATCATTTCAGCATTTGTTTAACTTTGTATCGAGACCTGAAGATGCTTTGCATATTGTAGAAAGCGAAACCTGTCGTCTGATAGTTAAATTAAATTGATTCTGAGTAAGTCTTATTTATTATTTCTTTACCTATTAGGAATTATTAAACTTAAGGACCATAGAAATATAGATATCCTAGTAAGAGGCAAATACAAACTTTTGATGACATCAATGAAATGGTGTGGCTTAAGTCAATGAAAATACTTTGAAGAGTAAACAATTTCAAAGAAGGTGTATATCACAATCTTGATAACCGTATTGAGACAGAGATTTTTTGTGTTATTATCGTAACGTTGGGATTCAAAAAATATTTAACAATAAATCTAGAGAAATAGTACTAACCTTAATAACAATGAACAGCAAAATATACGACTATTTTAAATTTTAAAATACGAATATTCAATATCATTGGGTATCTAGTAACTTTCTGAAGCGAACAGACTGATTTTGTTTATAAATATTTCTTTTATCAGAAGTTAACATTTATTTTTAGTTAAATATTGATAGGAGTAAAGAAATTTTTAGTTTACAACCCATATCTGCTTTGTCAGCTATTAAAGAATACAGAGTGGTTTAAAAGTCTAGAAACGGTCAATTATCTTGTAAATTGCTAATCATAATTGTACAAAATTAGAGGTACACCTATTTTGGGATACGAAGATTCCATATTAATTATTTGCAATGTTGCCAGATTTGACGTTTTTTTATATTATTAGTAACTTTGGTTTTTCAAATTTATTACCCTGTATATTCACTCATTAATGGACTCTCCTATTCAATACGAGTTCAACCATATGTATTACGTTTGATTTTATGTAGTCTGGAAGATCTTCAATACATAAAACAGAAGTCTGGCAACGCCTAATTGTCTCAATACATTTTTTAATACTTACTAACTATTTTTAATTACATTAAAACGTAACACTTGACAGATTAAAACATTTTCTAACATAATGGTTACTTTATCAGTTAGAATGCGTCTACCAAGTTTCTCCATGATTGTCTAGAAATTATTGGAGATTCATCGATAATTCGTTGCCTTAGCTCTGCACGACTTGCTGGTTTAGTTTTGTAAACTGAATTTTTCAAGTATCCCCTTTAGAATTGAAATCAGATGAAAGTGGAGGCCATTCAATTCTACCTCGTCTACCAATCCATCGTCCAGGAAATATCTTATCTAACTATCTGACGTTAAAGTTCCTTCGATAAAAAATGGCCCAATTAACTGAGTACCTACTATACTAGGTACTGGCCCAATTAACTGAGTAGTTTTTGAGAGTATGGTTTTCACGCATCCAGTGTGGATTTAAGTCACTCCAGTACCTTAAATTGTATGGATTTACACTTCCACGCAGTATAAAGGTTGCTTCATCAGAAAAACATATTCTGTTAACGAAATTTTCATCATTTTCAATTTTTTCCATCATTACCTCAGTAAACTCTAATCTACGATCGAAGTCATCTTCACTTAATTCTTGCAATGAGTTAATTTTGTATGGTTTAAATTTATTCTTACGTAATACACGTAAGACTGAAGAACGACCTACATTATGTACTTACGCAACGCTGCATGAGGATGTATGTGGATGTATGTGGATTCTACAAAACTTTGCATTATATCTCAAGTTTTGTTGTCGTTCATAACTTTTTTCGGTCTACCTGATCGGTATCTATCTTTTACTTCTCCAGCTTCCTCAAATTGCTTTACAGTTTTTTGCATCGTCGCCTTATGAATAGGAGAACGGTTTGGGAAAGTGTCATTGAACAAGTTGGCTAATTCACAATAAGATCTTTTTCTGTCACCGTACCCTCTCATCATTAGAATAGTAATTCGTTATTTTTCGTTAAGAGCCATTTTAGAGAAGCAATTTATTTTGCAGAACTTTTCGAAGCAGAGCTACTGTCAGTTTTAGTTAATAATGTAAATGGTGAACAAATGTCAAAATCACAGCATTCTACATTTAAATATTTAAATTTATTAAAATCTGCATATTTTGAACTGTTTTATTTATTTAAGACAATCCAGATTACATAAAATCATAAGTGTTACATATGGTTGAACTCGTATTGAATAGGAGATTCCAATAATGACTGAATATATAGGGTGATGAATTTGAAAACCCAAAGTTACTAATAATATAAGAGAAACGGCAAATCTGGCAACATTGCAAATATCAAATATGGAATCTCTGTATCCCAAAATAGGTGTACCTCAAATTTTGTACAATTATGACTACCAATTTACCAGATAATTGGCCGTTTCCAAACTTTTGGGCCACTGTATATTTATGCTTTAAGATAATTTCATTATCTTCAAATATTGTATTAGATACTTTCTTATTTAAAATTTTTGTTTTTTTTTTTTCAAAAACAAAAAAAATTTGCTGCTTTATCTGTCTAAAAACTTTTTAAATTTGAGGAAATTTCTGAGTAATTGACTGTAATTCTCTGAAGACGTAATTCTTCGGTTAAATTCCCTTTCTTGTTTAAGGTGACACTGATTCTGCAAAATTGACATCTCTCCTTTTTACTTTTCTATTTCATTTTTTACTAATCGGTGCTTCATCGGTGCTGTCCATCATACAACTTCAGCTTACAGAGAGTCTTTTTCACTTCTGTGTTCACTTGTGGGAAATCAATTTCTTGGAGATATATCTCTATTAATATTTCTAGTAGAACTATGGGACTGACTTCTGGATGTAGATCTAGGCGACCTTCTGAACTCATTCTTTGGTTATTTTTTCCATACGAGGGATCAGCTTCTGCAATGATTTTGTAAATGTCTTCTTCTTCCGGAATTAAAACATCTTCCGTTTTCAGTTTCGAATTTTTATTGATGATTTTATAATATACTTAACATCTAGGATTAAATAAGTTGTTGAATAACTGTGATAGTGACTTATCTAAATCTTATTTCTTTTAATTTTGGGTGAGATCTGGAATATTTTGCGACGCTCCGTACTTCTGTGCAGAGATTGGTGCTCCATTTAACGCTTGGTGATGCTGTAACCGAAGAACTGTTTACATTTCTGCATAATGTAGTCCATCTATGAATGCCTGTTTACCAATTTGTTCCAGAAATTAGGTGTCAAATGCAATAACGTATGGTCCTAAAGTGTTGGGAAAAATTTCACCTGGTCTGATTGAGAAGCAAAATGCATTTAACAAAGAAGGCCATGGAATTGAAATGTCATCAGTTATTGACATTTAATAAACAAAGGAGAATATTTTGGTTTGTGCTCTGCAAAATATCTTATAAAGTTGGTATTCGTCGAGGTCTTTGTAATATGGTTGGGCGAATGTCGAAACGAGATATTGTTAATATTGTTGCGTAAAAGTGGCCGACCGCGGATTTTGAACCATACAAGAGAGGCAAGACTGATTGAAGAAGCTAAGAACTTGAGCACTTGACGTGTGGCCCCTGCCACAGGTACGGTAACGATTTACGATCTACAATCTGCAATCTCTCAAATTAATTTAGGCAGACGAAAAGGAAGAAAGAGAAACAGCAGTATAACTATTAGTAAATAACAGAGACGAATATCAGAAATGAATAGTAGAGACGAATGGTACGAGACGAACAGTAGAGACAAACGGCAAACAGAAGTGACTTCGTTTCTTCGAATTGGAAGACGTCTGTTTGACAAAAGAAAAAATAGTTAATATAAAAAGCATTGTGTGAACATATATAGATAAGAATGAATTAAAAATATACTTACCGCCGTATGATGAAAAACAAACCGCTTGTCGCAGGAACCAACTCGGAAATGAGCTCTAATTCTGATTTTAGACGAGCTAAGGATAAAAAACGAGTGGGAGTATTGGCCAAATAGTAGTTGGCCACGCGAAAATAATACTTAAATTTCAAGGCTAGTGTGGTCGTATTTGTCACATAAACACTTTCTCTTGACAACATATATTATTTCATCGAAAATCAACATCTCTGCTTTTCTGAGAAGGTAGACCGGGTCTTCGACACTAGGCACTGATTCTTTTGTTACCAGGAAGGGTTTCTATTTAACAAATGACAGATAAAAAGAGCAGAGAACATTTGGCGAACTTTCGTTGTTAATAAAAAAGGCATGACAACTTGCGCGGTGCTTTTGGGTTATTTAAAGCTCCTAGCAAAATATATAGACATAGGCGGCAGGAAAGTAATTTTTTAAAGAGAATATTTTAAATAAATTTTAAACATGCTTCACTAACTGCCACATTTTAGACTATTATCGTTAATATTTAATTAAAATTTCCTAGTCTAAGACACATTCTGAAAAATATTTTATAGCTACTTTAAATTTGGCGCCTTTGCATGCCCGGATATGTCCTCCATATTGAGAGGCCACTTTTATTAATTTTGGTCTTCTTTTCATAACGATTAGATTCTCTCTTTTGTCTTTTTAGTCGATGGTTCTACTTCTAGTTTTGTACGTCTCTCTTCCTCTTCTTGTCTACTTCTACGTTCTTCTTCTTCTTCCTGTGTTTTTTATTTTACTATTTTTCTTTTTGCCTACGCCTCTCATTTTCCTCTATCGTCTTTTATAAAACCGCCTGTATGGTACCCACAATTTAGGCTATATTATATATAATGTGCCACAAGTCTATTACGATTAAACACATTGACAGAAGTAGATGTCAGTTTTACCTTCTGACCGAAGGTAGCAGAACTGACAAAACTGACAGGGATAAAGAAAAAAGAGACTTTTATAATTATATTTATTACTATATATGTTTACTTTATAAAAATCTTAATATATTTTTCTTACAGGTATATAATCTTATATATTAGTATAATATTTAATACAATAGTTTCTATTTAAATACATGTTAACCCATTCAAATTTGTTACATCAATTTTTGGATTATAAGGCGTGTAGTTAATGTTGCAATCATCCAAATATATCATTATATTTAACAAATCAATACAAGCAAACTGGTTGTTATTAATACCAATTGTGGATAAACTAGGAAACGTTTTTCTAAATGTTGTCACATCAATAATAGAGCGTCTCAAGCTAGTGTTATCTACATAAAACGTACATAAATTTCTAAGAGTTCGAAACGGTACCAAATTATTTTCGTAAAATAAATTTTTATTATCGGATATATTAAGAAATGATAATTGTTCTAATCCATCCAATACACCAGCCCTCAAGGAACTAATTTTATTATTATCTAATCTCAATTTTTGAAGATTTTTTGTGTAAATGAAGGTTTCATACCCAAATGTTGACAATTCGTTGCTATGAAGATGCAACTCAACTAAATCTTTGAATAATGTAAATGTTTGTGAATCAAGATTTGTAATATAATTATTTGAGAGGTCTAAATATTTAACTGTATTTGGACTTCCCGAGTTTGAGGTTTGGACAATTTTTATAGATGACGAGCTAAGATTAAGTGCAAGCAAATTGGGTAAATCGTTAGTGATTGCCGTTAAATTAACAACTGTTAATTTGTTTCTTGACAGATTTAAAGTTTTAATTGTTAATGGTTGAAATAAAGCTTGATTAATTGAGGATATTTTATTTCCTTCTAAGTGTAATTGCTGTAATTTCGAAAGTCCAACAAAAGCGTTATTTTCTATTGTTTCTAAGGCAGAATTGAAGATATTAAGAACTTCTAAATTACGCATATCTTGAAATGTATATTCTTTTAGCAACGTTTTATTTTGAAATATTTGTGAAGCATCTAAATAAGTTAAACTCATTAAACCATTAAAAATGTTATCTTCAGAAACGTCAATTGTTGTATTTATAAAATTTAGAGATTTTAATAGCGGTAAATCGACGAAGCAATTATTCTTTAGTAATTCTATATGAGAATCAATTATGGTTAAATTTTTAAGGAAAACACTTGAAATAAATCGTTCGTCTACTGTACCAGTCAACTGAATTATCAATTTGTTAATTTTAACTGTTTTATCCAAGATAATTGGACTTGATATTGAATTAAGAAGTAACGTGTCCATATTGACCATGTAAAATGTATATTTTTCAATTCCTTGTATGTTATTATATTTTAAATTTACTTCTATCAAACTATTTATGTTGTTAAAAGCATAGGGATTAATCTTCGAAATTTCCAAATTAGATAAGTCTAAATATCTTAAATTTTGCAAATTGTAGAAAGCGTTTTGTGAGATCTTTTTTTATTTTATTTCCATATAAATAAATGTTTTTTACAGGTAAGTCGCTAAAAGTGTAGTTACTTAAAAAATATATGTGATTATTACTTAAATCTATAGTACAGATTGCTGGTAAACTATAAAAAACATCATTTTCTAATAATGTTATAGCACTGTTTGAAAGATTTAAAGACTCTAAATAATTTAAGTTGGAAAAAGCTTTTGCTTTAATATAATGAATAGGATTACCTTGAAGATAGATATTTCGGACACTAATGTTGTAGAAGGTATAGCTTTCCAGTAATTCAATTGCATTGTTAGACAAATTAATTGTGTCAATATATTGCAAATTAGAAAAAGCGTACTGATCAATATTCCCTATTTTATTGTCCGATAGGTCAATCATTTTTAAATTATCAAAATGGCCAAAACTGTTGCTACCAATAGTCGATATGTTATTTTTTCTTAAAAAAATATTTTTTAGAATGCTATTAAGGTTTCTAAAAGTTAGGTCATTGATAAACGATAAATTATTTTCACTAATGTCAAGGGTTTTTAGAGGTACGCCTTGAAAAGTTTCTGGACGAATGTCGTTTATGAAATTGTTGGAAATATTATACGATGATAAATATGAACAATTTAATAATGATATTTGAGATAGATTTCTTAATTTATTAGATGAAAGATCTAAATGTTTCAGTTTGGGTATTCCCGTACAAATCTCATCTAATTCTTCAAGGGCGTTATGACTTAAATTTACGTAGACGGGATAGGAAGAACAGCAATTTATAAAAAATTCATTACTTATTTTTTTCAAATTAGAAAAAGATAGATCAAGAGTAGTAATATCTGAATTTACTGCGCACACTTTGTTAGATAATAAATCAAAATTATTGAAGCTCAGATTGAGTACAGAAGCTTGAACAGATTGAAAATAATTTTTCGGAATACTATTTAAGTTATTATTTGAAAAATCAATAATACCTGAGTGTATGTTGGGTATTTTATTACTATCTAAAACTGGCAAATCTGTATCGATCCAGTTTAACTTAAATATGTTTCCTATATATAAAGAATTATTAGGTATAAAACTGGAATAAAAATTAGAAACACTGTAAGAGTTGCTAGTGCCAATATAGGAAATATTACTATTCCCGTGACCCTCAATTTTTAAAAGATCTTTATTACTTTCTAACGCCAGGTTTTGTAGATAATTATAACTTAAATCTAATGATTGTATATTTACGTTATACTCAAATTCGGAAAAACACACTAATTTATTATGGCTTAAATCTATAAAATCAAAGTTAGTTCGCTCAGAAGTTGGTTTTAATATAGATATTTTGTTATTATTTAACCAAATTGATGATATTGGCCTCAAATAATTAAAATCTAATTCAGAAATTTTGTTGTAACTTAAATCTAAATTAAAAGAATAACTTATATATAAACCAGTCAACCATACCAGATTTGAAATATTATTTTGACTTAAATTTAGTTTGTTCAAATTTCGGAAAACCCCAAATGTGTTATTACTAACAGTATCTACTTTAGATTTTCTAATAGTTAAAGACCTAATGACAACCTGTGCAGGATACAAATCGTTTGAAATATCGACAAATGGTTGTATACTGGAAAAATCAGAATCTTCAATAACAATTCCATCTAATTCAGAGATTACATCTTTGTTTCGAAATAGGTCAAGGAGGAAATCATCTTGGCTTATTCCATAACATTGAAAAATGTAGGAACTATAATTACATCCACCACACAAACCTAACGCAGGCAGGAGTGAAACTAGTAACAAAAATCCAATCATTTCCCTGAAATATAAAAATTATATAATAAAATATTCAAATATTCGCAAAGTTTTTGTTCTTTTTATTGAAAAAATAATTTTAAAGAGGTTCTGAAACTGTTTTGTTGTTGTATGTTTAAAACCCATTAGCGCCTTGCGTTGCTTTAAAGCAACGACAGACATGGCTGTATTTGGGAGGAGCTTGAAGGCATAAGACAGTCATAAAAGAGGTGTGACCTTGCAAATTCCATCAACCATAATCGCCCAAACTCAGTTATGCGTATCTATTTGCGGTGTTAAGAACTGTTTGTTAGTTTGGAGCATTTGAAGTTGAGTATAATATTAGAACTAGAAAATAATGGACATTCGATTTGAGTAAGTACCATAATTTTATATAAATGAGACTTGTGTAGTAGTGTCTGGGGGCTCGGGAGACTGAGACCTCGGAAGCCCTGAGGAAGGCATCAGAGAGGATGCCGAAAGCTTGGCAAAATGGATTACGACGCGGTTCAACCCGGAAGACAGGTGAGTTTAATATTAATTTTAGTAATAATGTTAATCTTAGCTCTAGGTTTTATATATATATATATATATATATATATATATATATATATATATATATATGTATATATATATATATATATATAATATATATATATATATATATACATATATATATATATATATATATATATATATATATATTATATATATATATATATATATATATATATATATATATAAAGAAATGGATCAAATGATAGGAGTTTTGCGATTGTGTTTAGATGCACGAAATATTAATCAATTTTCGGAAGAATAAGGGGATCACATATTTTTTAGGGAACATGACGAATTTGTAGTACATTATATTGATGATCTGTTAATCTTTTCACCTGATGTTGAAAGTCATCTAAAACATATTAAAATTGTACTTGAAGCTTTGGATATGGCTGGTTTAAAATTAAATATAGAAAAATGTAAATTCTTTCAAGGAGAGCTCATCTATTTAGGTTTTAAACTAGATCAAAATGGGATAAGATCGGATACAGGTCATGAAAGACTATCCATGGCCAACAAATTTGAGAATGTTACGGGGATTCATTGGAATGATAAATTATTTCAAGAAGCTCATCCCGGATATCAGTCAAAAGGAATTAGCATTGATCAGTCTGTTAAGGAAAAATATAAAATAGAAATGGGGTGAAAAACAAGAAAATGCTTTTATTAATTTAAAACAGGAATTAGCGAGTGGAGTTAGAGTGTATCATCGCATCTACAGCAGAGTGGAGTTAGAGTGTATCATCTACTTTAGGGACAAATGCTTTGATCCATAAATTTGCAGGGGTTTTGTCACAAGTACAGGAAGGCAAAGAGGTACCGATATGTTTTGTTTCCAGAGTAACAAAAACTCATGAAAGGAAATACAGTGTTACGTAACTAGAATTTGCAAGTGTGCTTTTCTGTATAAACAAATTAAGATTTTATTTATTGGGTTCAAAATTTACGGTCGAAATAGATCATGCTACTTTAATTCAAATAATGAGAAATAGGTTGGTTAATAATTGAATACATGGTGGTGTATTGGAAAGGTAAGAAAAAGATAACATCATCTCAGACGTTCTTACTAGATATGAAAATCTCATGAAGGAAGACCAGAGAATACTACAAGTGGGAATCAATAGATTGATCGATAGAAATGGTATTTATTTTATGAGAGAATTGATAAAATTTGGACGAGATTGCATGAAATTTGGATGGAAGAGAAAATGAGATTTATATTAAGAGACTGAAAGGAAGAGAATTATATGTCAGAACTAACCAATTGGCAGGAAGAATAATAGAGAATATTCACCAGAACAACGGACACATCGGAAGCAGGAAAGTCTGGTTCGTATTCAGGGAAAATTATATTAGTAAAGGTGACTATAAAATAGCAAAGGATATCACAAGAAAATGCGACAGATATCAAAAATATAAAAGTAAGACCTTTAAAAATGAAAACAGTCCAAGAAACATAATATTCAGACAGAAACTCGATATCGTTACAATGGATATGCTAAGTGACCTAATCCGAACAATACAAATGGATAAACATATTTTAGTAATGATGCACCTATTCTCAAAATAACAAAACAAGAAAAGATACCAAACTAATTGGAAAGATTGATCAATTTATTGAAGAATTTTTAACACCGAGACACATACTGTTAGACAATGCCACGTATTTTCGAAATGATAAATTTAAAATACAATTAAGAGAAAAATGAATCGATACAAAATTTATGAGTATACGGCATCCACAGAGCAATCCTTTAGATAGATTTATACAAGAGGTCACAAAATGTTTACTGATAGCATCGTATGGAAACACAGACGTTGGGTAGAAAAGTGCCAGAAATAGAGGAGTATTTGAACTGCATCCCACACACAATCACGAAATTCCCCACACAATAACGAAAGAGGCACACGTATTTATGATGAAAGGGATAACACCACCAAGACCTTGGGAAGAACCAGAATAAAGGGAATACCAACAAGTGACAGAAATAATAGAAGGAAGATTAAGGAGAAGTGGATAAAAATACTTCTAACTCTAACAGAGGCAAAGAAAAGGAAGACCAGTTACCTTTGAAGCAGGGAAAAGGTAATGGTAAGAGCGTTGAGTGTCAAACTTAAATAACGGTAACTCTGACAAATTGCTACCAGTATTTGAAGGCCCGTATAGGGTGCATAATGAAAATGGAATCAACAGTTGTATTTTAGAGCACTTAGAGACTGGAAACATCAGGGAAATATACAAGAACCATGAATAAATCAAACCTACATTCAATTTGTCTATTTAATTACGTAGATACGTGGACAAAGATACATTGGCGGGTAAAATAAAATTATTCAATTATATAGTTCGATTTTTTATAAAATTAATTGTTGTTTTAGTTGAAGAATTTTACACAGAATTATATAGAAAGAAGACGGCACCAAGTTGAGAAAAGTCCAGAATGTGGGTTCAGAGGATATCCCAGAAATAACAATCGAAGAAGTCTTA